GTGCGAACTGGCTGAATCCTACCACTGCTATTGTCCAACATTATGTCCCCTCACCCTGGCTTCTCAGGCTCACATATCCATCCAGGACCTTCAAATGGTTTTGGGTTAAGATCCACCCTTGGCCTTCCGAAGATGCATTTCCCCAAAGTGGGCAAAATCAGGACAAAAAAACCAACGGAATTGGATTGAACTGAAATGTAAGCTTAATTAAAACGAAATGAAATTACTTAACACTGAAAGAATATGATTAGAACCACCCATTTATTAATTTCCCCCCTTCGGTTATATTAAAAGTTACAAATTCAGCAGCAACTGTGGGAACAGCGCTTGGACGGCAACTTAACTAGATGGCAGAGAGGACTTTCTCTAGCTGAGAAAGCTAAGCAGGGTCTGGTTAGTCTTAATTATCCCACAGGACCTTTGGGGACACATCCATGTCTCCATGGGGTTGTAGTTTGTGCACCCTGTAAACCAGGGGTGTCAAATTCAAGGCTGAGTCTGAATCCAGCCCATGGGGTGCTTAGATCTCGCCTGCGGGGCCGCCTTGGAAACAGCAAAGGACCAGCCCGCGGTGCCTCTTCCAGCAAAAACGGAGCTTGGGAGGGCTGTACGTGGCCTCCCCAAGCTCTGTTTTTGCTGGCAGAGAGATGCAGGAGGCCATCCCAGCTGAAAACGGAACTCAGGAGGGCCACGCACAACCCCCCTGAACTCCGTTTTTGCTGGTAGAGGGATGCAGGTGGCCATTCCAGCTGAAACTGTAGCTCAGGAGGGCCGCGCGCAACCCCCCTGAACTCCGTTTTTGCTGGTAGAGGGATGCAGGAGGTCATCCCAGCTGAAAACGGAGCTCAGGCAGGTCGCGCGCAACCCCCCTGAACTCTGTTTTTGCTGGTAGACGGATGCAGGAGGCCATCTCAGCTGAAAACGGAGCTCAGGGGCGTCGCGCGCAACCCCCCTCAACTCCGATTTTGCTGGTAGAGGGATGCAGGAGGTCATCCCAGCTGAAAACGGAGCTCAGGGGTCTTGCGCGCAACCCCCCTGAACTCCTTTTTTGCTGGTAGAGGGATGCAGAAGGCCATCCCAGCTGAAAACGTTGCTCAGGAGGGCCGCGCGCAACCCCCCTGAACTCCGTTTTTGCTGGTAGACGGATGCAGGAGGCCATCCCAGCTGAAAACAGAGCTCAGGAGGGCCGCGCGCAAACCCCCTGAACTCCGATTTTGCTGGTAGAGGGATGCAGGAGGCCATTCCAGCCGAAAACGGAGCTCAGGAACCTGTTTTCGATGGTAGAGCACTTAGGCCACAGGGACCTCCGAAATGAGTGATGTCAAGCCGGCATGCCCCCCCCCCCGTTACCGCTCCCCACAGTCAAACACAACCCTCATGCAGCCCTCAATGAAATCAAGTTTGACACCCCTGCTCTAACCCTTTCAGAGATGGGAATTCTCTTGTTCTTTGTTAATGCAGATTGTTGCCCTTTTAATATCCTCTCCATGTTCTCCTGCCAGATTCTTCCCCAAACTTACAATGCATTTGAGTGCTCAGCATTGTTCAACAATCTTATCCCCCTCCTTAAAAAAAAAAAAAAGTGAACGTTCCTCTAAATGAAGGAATTAAGATCCCGTAAAGTGTTAATACCACTTTATAATGCCTTGGAAAGGCCACACTTGGAATACTGCGTTCAGTTTTGGTCGCCACGATGTAGAAAAGATGTGGAGACTCTGG